AAGAAATTTGATTTTTTGGGGGGAAATGAAAGTTTTTGGGGGGAACGTATGTAATAATAGCATTATCATCGTTACTATTTGTATAATCTAGATTTTCGTGACACAAAATTCATACCCTAAGGTCCAATATCCCTTCAACTTCGCAACAGGAACAACGAAGGGAAGAACAAGATAACACACGAATATACCGAAGGCCTTTTCTCTATTGCTCCGTCTGGACATACCTTCGGCATATTCGTGTGTTTTCTTGTTCTTCCCTTCGTTGTCCCTGTCGCAATTTGCTCGACATGAATTCCACACCCTTCAACTTCATTTAAATTTCCAAAGTCACCATCACCCACAAACACCCACCTTGAAGTTATAGATCCGATCAGCCACGTCCTTGAACCCCGTCAGCAGGAGCCACCGCCCGGGGTACAGCCTCGAGGCGCCGTCGGTAAACGTCGGAAAATTCCTGTAGATTCGCTTCATGTCCTCTGTTTCCAGGGGAACCGCTACGTGCCCGCTGGCCAAGGTCGTTGGCTCTCCTGACGAAGGCATCTCTGCGTCGGGATAAAAGGGGAAGGGGATAAGGGGATCACCATAAGAGAAGGTGATCGACGGTTGAGAAATTAAAGTTTATGTTGTTGTGTTATCAGGGTGTCTATAGTGAGAAAAACTGAAGGTGTTTTGATTGAAGCAAAAGGACAAAACAGTATTCTATGTACACGTAATGCAGATACTTCAATGGCAGATCAATTATCTAATCAGGGCAAAATAACAAAATTCAAGTGGCCTGCTTCAATGTTGAGATAAAGGAATATTCACTTCTTGTCGGTCCTACTGTTCAGCCAATAGATAGACGGGAAAGACAGACAGAGAGAGAGAGAGAGAGAGAGAGAGAGAGAGAGAGAGAGAGAGAGAGAGAGAGAGAGAGAGAGAGAGAGAGAGAGAGAAATAAAGACGGAGAGAGCGATTTAGAAAGAGTTACGTTGCTATAAAGATATCAACGATATACGAATGACTTTATGGCCTAATGTGTACAGCTTAAGAATAGACCTTTCGCACTTACGGGATCACATCAAAGGTATAAGCAGGTACATGGATGTGTCCGATAATGCAAGTGTATCAATCAATTTTGAAAGACATGTGATCGAACATAGTGTGAACTTAAAATCACCATTATTATCAGTATTCGTACCCATACTGCCATACTATTATTATCAGCAATACATATATCGCTGTTACTGCCATATCGATTGTTAATAAATTTAGTAAATACTTGTACTAATAAAGACGAATATTCACTGCGCCAAAAAGAAAGCCGATATGACAATTGTCAGTCAACAATAAACCCAGTGAGATAGCGCTGGCTTTGCAACTGCAAGGTCCTAAGGCTCGCGCACAGTCGCCCCTCTCTCTGTCAACTCAGCAGTAAGTACTGACATGCTGACGTCAGCAAACTGGGGTCAAATTCAGGGGGGGGAGGAGAGACCAACCCTACCGCATCATACCTCGGCTTAGTATGTTTCTCTACGAACATATCCACTTTGTTTACGTCTCCTTGGATATGGGACCAAGGTACAAAATTTATGAATGAGAATATCTCACAATACAAGATATATTGATTCTTATCTATACCTTTCTTCTTACTTTTGTCACGGTGAATATGGTTCTTATGGGACCAACTCTGACTTTAATGATAACTTCAACTTCAGTTTGAGGAAAAATAGAAAAAAAATGGAAAGTAAAGAGGATAAACTAGACACTACCATTACTAATGATGATAATAATAGTAATAATAATGAAAATAATAATGATAATAATAGTAATAATAATGACAATGATAACAAAAAGAATGATATTAATCAATGATGATGATGATTGAGATATGATGATATGATAATGATGATGATAATGATGATAATGATGATAATAATGATTAATGATAATTAATTGATGATAATAATGAATAATGATGATGATGATGATGATGATGATGATGATGATAATGATGATAATAATAATAATAATAACAATAACAATAATAGCAATAATGGTTATAAAAATGATGATAACTATATTTTAAAAATAATTTTCTACTTTATTTTCCTATTATACACAAAAAACAATACCAAAATGCATACGAAATTTTTCACCATGTCATTACATAATTGTTTTTTGCTAATATCAAAAAGTTATTCAAAACAAACTCTTTGTAAGTAATTTGAAGATAATCTACAACAGAAGAAAATATTACGTTATACTTGATGAAAAAATACTTTAATGGTTGTTATGCAAGATCGAAATATATCTTCATTTTGCCTGCTATATGTGATCAAATTCAATGGACACCATATTTATCCCATGTATTGATATTTTCTTCTTTTCACCAACTAAAAACCACTGGATGACTACCTTGTGGGTTAGTTTTGCTCTATTGACAACACACGAATGCTGGACAAGGAGACTGCACCCTCTCCCAACCAGCACTGAAGGGGAACTGCAGCTTTGAGTCTTA